AGAGCATTCATCTTCAGGAGCCCTTATCCAGCCCTTTGACTTGAATTAGAATGCCATTTCCATACCACTACATAAAACAATGACAGTTGAGTTTGATGAAGAAAACAGTACCTTACAAGGAACTCTGGGAAAGTTGCTTCTGTAGACAAGAACCTGCTTGCTTTTGCTTGCTTTTTTAGCTCAAGAGCATACAAAATAAAAAAGCACTCCAGGTCTCAAGGCTGAACATGAAAGGATGCAGATAAGCAATGGAGGAATCTAAAAGCAGAAGTCAAAGCACCAGGAAATGACTTTATTGTTTTGCACAGTATTGTTTACAATTTGTTGTAAGACACCTTGGGGGGAGTCACTGAGTCAAAAAAAAACCCCAAAAAAACAACCCAGCACCATTAACTATAGAAATGTCATTTGGAAACTTGCAACATTTGTCCGTATGGTGCCAAACTGGTAAATAACTTCAGAGAACCAAAGGTGAACTAGTAATCCTTATTGTCTTTCTTTCAAAGCATCTCACATAATGCCAATGAAAATCAGCAATTTTGAAGAGCCTTACAGCTACTGAAGCCACACTGATTTTTTTTAAAAAAAAATAATCTATAAAAATTGTTGCAGCTTCACAAATATCACACAGACAGAAAAAATGAATAGTTGACAGATTTGCATAAGTAACTTAAGGGGGGTTGCAGACTGCCAGAAATAGTGCAAATTGAGTCCACTTTTAGGGTTAGGGTTAGGGTTAGGGAATCATGGGAACTGTAATTTATTGTGACACCAGAGCTCTCTGACAGAGAAGGTTCAATGTCTCAGGGAAAAAAAACAATTCCCATGATTCCCTAGCACTAACCCTAACCCTTAAAGTGGACTCAATTTGCACTATTTCTGGCAGTCTGCAACCCCCCTAAATAGATCCCCTCTGTACTTGGTACAACAGAAGATACCAGTTTTTCTCAGCATTGGTGGGCAGTCCTATATAAATATGACATTAAACACCACTATCTGTTGACAAATATCTGATTACAATTAAAAGGATACGAAGAATGCATTGTGCTCTATTTGTGTAAAACATAACAGCCTAATATATATCAGCAGGTAAGGGGATTTGATCAGGTATCTATTAGTGGGTTTGCATCTGCACATGATAAAGGACAGTCACTCTAGCCCTACTCCACTATGCTTTCTATAATACTTAAATAGAATTTCAGATAAGCAATCCACCATGCAGGGCTCTAAGTTACAGGAAGATCTTATGCAATTCCATAGATGGGGAGAAGAGAGGACCTGTGAGTATATAATACAGGGGTAGGCAACCTGTCCCCTTTAAGGGCCGAGGGACTTCAGCTCCCAGAAGCCTCAGCCATGTTGGCCAATAGTCCCATGTTGGCCAATAGCTCCTGGGATTCTGGGAGCTGAAGTCCCTCGGCCCTTAAAGGGGACAGGTTGCCTACCCCTGATATAATACTTTGAAGTCTGTGAGAAGACTATCTAATCAGCAAATGATAAGCACAGAAGATAAAACCAATGATATGATTGTCTTCTGCTGTGGCTGTAGCAGTGAGGACAAGGCAGAGCATGGGCAGAAATGCACACCGGGGTATAGTTTGGAACGGCATAGGTCACATCATTATTGGTAACAACTGAAGAGTATTCGCCTAGCATGGGGCATGGATCTGGACATCAGACAACCCCCCCCCCCAGCAACCGATGATAGCCCAGCCCCTCAGCCTTCCTGCTTGGAGGGGTGCAGGTAAAGACAGAATGGGAGTCACAAGGCAAAAGTCAGTGGGTGGTTCCCCTATCACCACCAAGGAGTCAGACCCTACACGTTGGTTGTGTGTGCTATGCCATCTCCAACTCAATGTTCCTTAAGAGGAGTCCTGAATGAAGGGTGACTATCCCATAAACAAAATCTCCCCTCACCAAAAAAGCAGATCATTCCCCATGTCCAAATTCCAAATCTGTGACAAATATTGAGGTACAGAACTAATACAATATTATCCTAATGAACCCCTGCAGTTATACGAGAATCTAGGGAGTGAAGGTAGGGGTGAACATCAATGCCCACTAGAGTCTGGCTATTGGATACTCCAGTTGAGTCTGAATTATTCCATTATTTTCTATGAAGGTCCTAGGATCTAGAAGAGTATTAAGTAGTTTACTGCTTTTCTTGCAAAACAATCTCCCACTAAATAGAGAAGTTTCAATGACAATTGACTGGCTTTTCCCTACCTGCTGCCCCAGCACCTGTGAATGTCTGAGTTTTCCCTTTATAGCAAACTACAAAGAATCTAAGCTTGAAAAGCACTTGAGAAATGGTGGACACCACTAGACCCACAAATGCAAAGTAGGTCATGAAAGCCCAGCTGGTTTCCTTGTGTATGCTCTCATCTGTTGACTGCCTCATTGTGGTACCTTGCATGTATAAATGAGCCAACTTGAAACAAACAATACACACCAAACCTTCATTTCCCTTTGCAACTGAGTCAGGCTGCACAGCTGTGAGGCATCAAGTGTGAGTCAATCCGCAGTCATAGATAAATAGATATGCTTGCGATATAATAAATAGTCCAAAAGGCACGTTGTGTTTGAGAACAACCAGAATCAACTAGGACAGTCTGTACAATGACATGGCTCTCCATCAACACACCATTTTTTAGCCCAGAGGGTCTCAATTACATAAGGAACAGCGCAATAAAAACTGACAATGCTTTGCCAATTAAAATAGCGTCCGCCTACAGCCACCCTTGGCTTCATCCAATAAAATCAGTAACAAACTTGGGCCCTCTTGCTTGATGTATTTGCACAAGCATGATTTCACTAAGGAAATTTGGGCTGGAAATGAGAACGGATAACACCTGCAAATTCTGTCCTGATGACAGAATCTGATTTCGCAGCAACCATGGAGTGTACCTCTGTCAGGCCAGAACTGTGGAGGAAGGAATCAAGGGCCCATCTCAGAAGAAAAGGCAGGAAGGCCCACCAAATACAGAAAGAGTGACTTACCACATTTCAAAGTAATTCACATTGCATTCTAAAGAATGTAGGTTGGGGGAAGGCCCTATAAGACCACAAAGGTTAGAGGCTAACATTGCCCAATTGTATAATGGAATTGAGTTCCGGAGGTAGAAAAATGAATAGACCAAAAAGCAGTCTACTGAAGTAATTTGAGTTGACCACTGTGTGGCAAGCCTCCTCCCTGAATATGTGTTTGCTGCTCTCTCTCTCTCTCTTTTTCTTCTGGTCCAATACCTCCTCAAAATCCACCTGTGTCATATAGTCTTTGCTTTATTCCCTTAATTTCATCCCTGACTATAACCAAGAACTAAAGGCTCAGTAACAGCATTTACCCACATCCTTCCCTCTTTATCTTTGTATCTTCTCCTTCTCCTTCTCATTCCATACTTGCCTCCCACCTGGAGATGACCCATGAAAACCAGAGACTCTGGGTGAGGGCTGGAGATCTGGCAACTCTAGTGATGACTGTCAATTCCACATCTTGTTTGGCAAATCATAATAACAAAATAGGGTAGCCAAGTCAAGGCACTAGGAGTGATATTGTGCCTTTAAAAGCCTCATAGATGAAAATACCAACTGATGTCCTTTCTCCCATCACTGTAGGGGGAAAGGTGCAGGCAGTACTGAAAGCAAAAATACGAGGATAGCTTATAGGTCACAGATGCCAGCGCTGCGTGAATTATTCAACAGAGAGCCTTGTGTCTTTTAATCTGTTCCCACGCATGTGGGAAATATGAACTTTAAAATATTCATTACATGCCTATAAAATAAACTATGCACAATGTATCATTTAGATTGTTTTTCTGGGTTCTCCTAACCATAAGGTAGTTAAGTGGTCATTTTGATTTATTATCTACAATGGATCTACTGTTTGAGGCCAGATACAAATGACAGAACACACACTGAGTCCAGTACAGCTTTGGAAATAGAGAAATTTGCAATTTTTTTCAGAACATAAGAAGAGCCCTGCTGTACTGAACGTTTAGGACTGTATTTGTTTTGAGAGGAACAAGATCACTGGTTAAACCATGTATGTTTTAAGGTAAAATAGCCGACAACTATTTAAAGAGGACAAGATGTATCTTACCTGATTGAACTGTATGTATTTGTATATTCTGCTTCCAGGTGCCCACCCCAGGTACTTCAGAAGGCAATCTTAATTCCTTGATGTAATATGGTCATATAGACTCATCAGACAGTGTTAAATAATGCATGCTTTTCAGTCCAGTGCTGATTGCATTTCACTAGTGAGTGGCCTCTATAATGCTGGCTCAGAATTTTAAACGTACATAAAGCCAGCATGCATACATGTATATACATGCCTGCATAGGTCCCAACTTGACAAGGAAGACAAAAGAATGGAAAACTGGGGCACATCTAATGGAATCCACAAAATAAATGAGATACATATCTCAAGATGTTCAAAAGATGTTTGTTCATTAGTAGAAGAGTCCAAGACACTCTGACCTGTGTGTATTCATATATTTTTTTCCTGCCACCTTTTTACAAGATATAAAAAGCTTTCAACCTTTCCTCACATGTTTTCGTCTTTCCAACAAATGGTTCTGAGACTTCCTGTTTCAGAAATCTCTGAAGTTTGATTCTAGCTAAGTCTGTATAGGCAATAGGCAACATACAAAGGTAATAATAATTTTATGCAATGCGATATTATAGGCTATTTGAAAGGCTGTATTTTCCTTTATGAGCCCATTAGAGCACCAAGATCTGCAGAAGAGGCCCTTCTCTCTGTCCCACACTTTCTCAGGCTTGTTGGGTGGGAACAAGGGAGAGGAGGGCCTTCTTGGTGGCTGCTCCTAGACTTTGGAATTTCCTCTCAGAGAGGCCAGGATGACCCCATCCTTGCTCTCCTTTTAGCAGCACGTTAAAACAATCTTATGCTATCAGGCTTTTAGAAACTGAGAGGCACTCTTAACAATGTGCTGTGTTGTTTTATGGAGTATAGATAGTGTTTCAATGAATTTTAGAGAGCCAGTGTGGTGTAGTGATTTGAGTGCTGGACTACAACTCCAGAGACCAGGGTTCAATTCCTCGCTCAGCCATAAAACCCACTGGGTAACCTTGGGCAAGTCACACACTCTCAGCTTCAGAGGAAGGCAATGGCAAACCTCCTCTGAACAAATCTCTGAACTTCCCCAGTTGATTTGATCAGGTCCTCATCATAAACCAAGGGATTCCAACTTTGTATTTGTGTCTTCGCCAAGACTCTTTTTAATCCATTTCAGCAAACTGCAGGCTTAACCATCTGTCTCTTGTGTGCACATGCCTCCAGAAAGAAATGCTCATTTTCAATGTGGAGCAATAGCAGACAGATACTTTTCATTGTATTATACATTTCAGAAAATAAGTAGGATATTACATGATTGAATGGTCCCTCACATGAAAACCTCTTTACATGCCTCCTGTTAGAGAGGAAAGTGTTGGCTTAGCCTTCTTTCTAACATAAATCTCTATGTGAAAGTTGTAGGGTTGTTTTTTCAATGAAAACTTGGTTGTTTCTCCAAAGTAAGTAAAATCCACATGCCCTTTCAGGATGGCAATGCATCAGAACAAAGCAACTAGTCCAGTTATCTGAGAGACAGACAGAGACAGAGAGGCTCTGATTTTAATATTTTTGAGGAGGTGGCCTTTTTCTTTTAAGGGAGGAGGGGTGGATACTCTGGTGCCAGATCCCAGTTACATTCAAATCTTCTGGGGTTTTCTCCCCTGATTTATATGGTCGGTTTTTCTTTTCTAAGCATTCCATATCTATGATCAGTTCTTTCTTTTCTAAGCATTCCATTTTCTAGGCATTCCCCCTAAATCCCCCTCTCCAGTTTTCCATTGCCCTCCCCTCAAAACTCTGTATCCAGTCTTCATGGGGCTACTTACACCTTAGATACTCCCCCTTCCCCTTTTACTTATGAAAAATTTCAGGGCTCTCTCAAATCTTCTGCTTTACTTTGCATGTGGATGGTGTAGTTTTGAGTACAGAAGCATGACTAATGAAAGATTTGAAAAGGATTAATATAAAGATCAGAAGTAGACAGCTGGGGCCTTCCAGATGTTTTGACTGGCATTTCCCATAATCCTTTCACATTTAGCACTGCTGGTTACAAATGAAGCCACAAGGTCCAAAACTTTGGTTTTGCCAATTTATGAGGCGCACACGCACACATGCACACACACGCACAAAACACCCAATAAAATGGAGGGAGGGGAACCATCAACAGGACTAAAGCAAATACTTTCTCTCTCCTTTAGTCCTCCATAGCAAACATAAAGCATTCATCCCTATAAAGAGAACTGAAAAAAGGAAAGCAAAACCAGGAACTAATAATAATAAATATTTCTATCCCGCCCCTCTACCGAAGCAATTGGGGACTGCATCTGATATTTTATATAGTCTTACAAAAATCCTCATGTTACATAGGTTTTAGAAATAATTTTGGTGAAGCAAATATGTGAACATTTTGTCTGAAGTATTTTGTTCATCATTCTAAATGAAAATACAGTCACCCCTCCATTTTAGCAGACTTGAAGTCTGTGGTCTTGATTATTCATGGAGGGGTGATCCCCATTAGTGAAAATGGCACCTGCGCCCATGGAGTGCATGGCCATTTAAGCTAATGGGGCTTGAATATCCACGATTTTTCATTTTCATGGGGGGGGGGGGTCCAGAATGGATCCACCATGGAAAAGGAGTGGCAACTGTATTCCATAATCCATTTTCTCCCACTATTTCCATTATTATTATTATTTTGTCCTCTGAAACAAACCTTGCCAAGAAACCCCCATGATAGGTTCACCTTAGGATTGCCATAAGTCCAAAATGACTTGAAAGCACCCAACAAGAACAAGAACAACAACTTCAGAATCCTCAGCCAGAAAGCTCCACTAGTGCTTCACCGGACTACGAACCCCAGCATCCCATAGGATGCATCCACAGCAATTACAGTGGGATTGGAAAGAAAAGAATGGAACTTCAGCATGAATTCATCTAATTCAGGTGTGGATCAAGAGGTCAGTTTTCTGCACCCAGGATCCTCTTGATGCCACATGGATTGCCAAAAATGCCCCCCCCCCACATCCTAGAAGTAAGCAGATGTCTACTTCTGGCTTTGAAAAAAACAACAATGGTTTTTTGTGTTTTTTTTTTAAGGGAGTGTCTATTTAAAAGGTGAATTGCCATTTTTGGAGGCTTTCAGGAAAAGCAATTCATGCTTTTTCTGTCAGAAAAAAAAGTCTGGATGGTTTGAGGGCTACTCAAATAGTCTTTGGAGGCTGCATGCAGCCTGAGAGCTCTACTTTCCCATCCTGGCCTATCTGAACCATGTGAGCTGCAAATCAATAATTCACCTCACTTGTACAAAACAGAGAGTTATTGCTACACAATAACACAACTTGCTTCTCACCCCCTCTATAATCATAAAAAACAAATTAAGAAGTCTGAATGTGATCAGCCCATGATGCAGACCTACAGAAAATATTTTCCTTGATGTTCCTAAGGGCAAACCTGAGCTTATCGCATGGGGCGGTGGGTATTTTTGAAAGCAACACACTACTTACCTTCTGCATTTTTAATATTTATAAAGCTCACACCAAACAGCTTTCACCTTCTGCAAAACACAGAATGATACATTGCATATTAATGCAGCAAGTGTGTTCTGCATGAATCTAATTTTCTTTTTCTTTCCCACAGACTCATGCTTTTACAAAAGATGAAATAGTCCCCTGATAAACAGTTGGCAAACAATGTATGAATAATTTGAAATATTTTTGGTACAAGATGTTCATTGCACCAGATCTAAGTGGGAATCTTGAAGTTTCAGCACATACTTATCATTCCCCCATGTATGAGTTTTAAGCTATTTGTTACAACATATTTAATAAATGGCCTTTGAGTCAGTCAGGGCTTAAATTTGAACCGCTGCCTTCCTGCGTATTTCAGGAGGTAGTTCTCTCCCTCAGAATCTAAAGGAATTTTGTTTAATATTAGACTTTGCAAATGGGGAGGTGGGGAACAAATCCTAAATAGACACTGCATTCATTCTACAGATTATCTGGGGATTTAGATAATCTGGCATTGTTTTACAGAAGTATTTTCTGTACAAAAGTATTTATGTTGAGCTGATCACATATTTGTTTGTACCTTAAAATGAGACAATACACTTTTATCCTCTCTTGCTCCATCCAACTCCTGGTTTGGGAGTAAAACTGGGTTTATGATTCCCTTTAACTCCTGCATTTGGTGCACAAAGCCTTCAGAAGCACTATAAAACAGCCCCAGTTTTGTTTAGGTCTCAATGGCTAGGTATGGGTGTTGGAAAGTATCATTTGATATGTTTATATGATAAGATTGTGACATTTATGTTTCACTGTTGTTTACAAAAAACTGGAGTTTATTGGTAGGGTGGGTACATGTTTGTATGCCACAGATCCCAGGATCAGTCCCTGATATTTGTAATCCAACCCAGAATCATGGACCAGGATCCTGGTCGGGGGGGGGCAGCCTGTATTGAGGTGTCAATATGAGATATGGCAGCATCCCTGCCTTATTTCAAACTGATCCAATGTGTGAGTGCCAAGGCTGGCTAGGGATCTATCCCAAAAATAATAGGATTCCCATCTGGTTGATGGTTTTAACTTCAGAGTTACAAAAGGAATATGTTTTGGTTGATAGCAGAGACATTGATTTAATGAAGCAGTAATAAGATTAGGACAACCCCAGGGTGTTTGGAATAGGATGGGGTGTGGGAATATATCATGGGTTCTAGCAGAAAGATTAACAATGCTTTAGGCTAACAAATGCATACAGCAAGGGATGGTGGTGGAAAGCTGCAGTACTTACACCCATTAAGTTACATGAGTCCTTTCCACATGCCCCCAGGTCAGCATGGCCTGTCCTGGTTCATATTCTCTGGCCTCTCTGTAACTACTAAAATATAACAAAATATAACAAAATATTTGTACCCCAAAATAATGCAGAGTATGCAGGGTGTAGTAACAGATAAATGGGATTTGGGGGAGATCTGGATGGAATCCAGTACATTCCACTGTTGTTACGGTGTTATGCAGTACATCAGTGGTCCCCAAACATTATCTGGCTACTGCCCCCTTTTTTGGGGGGGGGACAACCCTAGTGTCCTCCAAGCATATTTCATGATATAAGGTAGTGATGGCGAAACTTTTAGGCACCAAGTGCCCAAACTAAATGGCTGTTCTTAGACTGTACATTCTCCCTGAGCCTGACTTACTTCTCAGATTTCTTAGGGGAAAGGGAAGAAGAGAGCTATGTATGCCACTATGCCTCACTGGAGAAAAGGTAGGAAAAAAATGCAACAAGAGAGCACCAGAGGCCATGTTTACTGCCTGTTCAGCTTCCAGATGCCAC